AGAATGGGCTGCAAGTCACCGACGAAGAAATATGGTACTCGCTAGTTGAGGGCCATAACGCGAAGAACCGCGTTCCTGGAGTTGGTGACTACGAGCGGGAAATGAGGAAGATGAATCCGTCCTCCAAACCTCGCCGTTCCAGCACGAGTAATAGAAGCACAGCGGAGATATCAGCACTCAAAGAGCAAAACCAAAGGCTGTAGGAACAAATTGATACTCTAACCTCGAACTTGTCGCTAACGATTCAGGAGGAGATAAGGAAGCTATATGGTGGTAACCTTCCTCGACGAGGCGATGATGGAACGGGAGGGGCAGGGCAGCCCGGGATTTGTTGAGACATTTACGACCTTAGCTTCCTCCATTTTAAACACTTGACACTAACATTTTAGTATTTATTGTTAGAACATAATGAATTATGTTACATTTGCATTTGAAGTTTGCATTAATCTAGATTTGAATTATCAATTTGGGTGTTGAAATCTTGTTTGGAATTATGTGTGTGAAATTGAATGTGTTTTGCCCCCCACACCCTCCCATTTTAATAGCTAGTGCCAAAAACAGGGAAATTCTGGTTCTGTGAACAGGTCATCTGCGACGGAAAGCGCCGTTGCTATATCTATCGCTGATCTGCGACGGAATGTTCCGTTGCTGAGTCCGTCGCAGATCTGCGACGGTTTATTATTTTCGTCGCAGATTTTGTTTGATGGAAAAAATGAAAATCCCATTGCAGGTCCGCCGCAGATCTGCCACGGAATGTAAAGTCCGTCGCAGATATTAAATCTGCCACAACTTTTCTGCGACGGAGGAACTTCATAGCAGATCCGTCTCAGATTAGAAATCTGCCACGGAATTTTAAACTCTGCCACAAATTTTTTCCGTTGCAGATCAGCAATTTTCTTGTAGTGAAGGCGAGCAGGGCAACCAGGAAGAGGGTATCACCTTTTCGGTGACGAAGGTGGGTGAGGGCACCAGTTCCAACGCATGATCGGCCTCCCCTTTCCCTTTCACTTGTATTTCTATTCCATGATTCCTTGTAAAAACTCTTAAGTACTTATACACTTTGCTTTCTCAATTCTTGATCGCTGCTGAGGCTTTAATCTGTTTCGAACTTCGTTTCTTTTTTTTGTTTTGGTCCGCTTTGGGCTGGGAACAGGCCTAAACCTAGGCCCAACTTCCCCTTCTAGCCCATTTGTACGGCAAGCCCAATTCAATGATTAGTTGAACGTGCCACCCAGCTGGCCAATCACATCACTCAGGGTGGTTGATTGGGCCGTCTCGTTGCTCGATGTTGCTTTATCGGTTCAGTTGCCTTGGGACTTGACCGTCCTTTCGATCTCTCCGCCTTAAACTCTTTATACACCACCTTGCTCCATTATTCCTTTTTAACACAAGTCCTTTTCTTGTACTTCGTAACTATTCTTTGCCTTGTTTGGAGAAGCTCCTACTTCCCTGAATCTTTCCGACGGTCCTATTCCTTCTTTGCCGGAGCCTGCCTCCTCCCCCAAGTTTGTTAACTCCAATGACTGGGGGCTAGACCCATATGAATTCTGCCCCCGTCTCCCTCGCCGTCGATGGCCTACGATGAAGCATTCGCCAATCCTGCCGAATCCTTATGATGAATTCAGCACAGAAACCAAGGTGCTTTTGGCCAACCGCCTCCCTTCTAGGGAGGTAGATTAGGATACTCGCCCTATCCATGAGAGGGATTATGCGGCTTGGAAAAGCGTGCAAGATGAGCATCTGCCCATTTTGGAGCACGAAGTAAAATACTATTTGGGTCTGGAGCAGTGGACTAGTGAGATTCGCACTAACTCGCCGGAGCTTGGTCAAGATGCTGTTGCTGGGGAAGAACTGGGTTCCTCCCAGCGATTGTGGGCTAGCCCTTCGCCTCCTCGGGAGAACCCTAAGTGACCTGGAGTAGCTCTTCCTACTCCAGGGTCTCCGTCCTCGTAGGGGGATGGTGCTCATTAGGACTCACAGTACGAGCGACACCTTTTTTCTACACGGGAGAAGGAAGGTGGGTTTTTGTCACTGGTGGTGGATACCCATCCCTTCTCCATGTTGGAGAATAAAGTTGGGTCTTTGTCACTGGTGGTGGTGGTTGGGGCTCCACGCAACCGTTGGCCACAGAACTACCCTTCATCTTGTCTTTTCCTTGTGTTTTTCTTTTTTCTCAGTAGTGATGGTCGCATGTGTATGCTTAGGTGTAATGAATTTTCCTCACGAATGTAAGTAGATGCCTCAATGTAATGAATATGCTCGCAAATGTATGAAGTTGCTTTTGATGTGTAATGGATGATTTCATAAGTGTGTTTTGGCGTTACTTGTCTAATCAAATTTTGACAAGTCCTGCCATATTTCATGGACATAGTTTGGTCTCGTTCAAGCGTCGTCCTTAATAATTAGGTCGTCTCATCCTTTAGTTGAAGGAACTATATACTTATTTGACTTAGGGGCTGTTTGTTTCAGCCTCTTAATGATTCAGATGTCCGAATGGTTCAGCACTTAATGGTTCAGACTGTTTGTTTGAGCCTCTTAATGGTTCAGATGTCTGAATGGTTAAGAGATTTGCCTCTAAATGGTTAAGTATTATACAGAGTCTGAATGGTTAAGACCTTTTATCTGAATTGATCAGACATTTGCCTCTGAATAGTTAAGCAATATACTAGCTCTTAATGATTCAACCCTCTTACTGGTTCAGCACTTAATGGTTCAGACCTCTTACTGGTTCAGCACTAACCTATTCAGAAGTTGCGAAACAGCCCCTTAGCCTTTTTGGTGGCTCTTTCGCCTTGGCGTCTCTTGTTTTGTTTTGATCGCGCTAACTAGCAGTCGCTCAGGCAACCAACGGGTTCAGTACTTCGTTCCCTTAAGGGTGGCTTAGTACGAATCACCGTATGGACTCGTGTAGCGATTCTTCTTGGTTGCTCCTTTTTTTATTATGGAAGGGAAACAAAATCGATAAGTTGCAAAACACTGACTTTATTGAATTCAAGGGCGCAACATAAGAAGGTTACAACTTATTGGTAAAGTCTAATGAGATTAGCACTATTCCGCACCCGCGGGACTACGTCTCCTCCAGTTGGGGTCTGCAACCTGTATGTTCCGTCGGCCAACACTTTCTTTATAATATATGAACCTTCAAAATTCTTTGCAAACTTTCCACCATCGGTCGGTCGACTGACCTCTCTTTTTCTTAAAACCCAATCGCCCTTTCTAAATATCCTTGGTCGCACCCTCTGGTCATGATACGACTTGACTTGACGACGATAATTTTCGGCCTGAATATAAGCTCTCTATCTTCGCCCATCTATCAAGTGCAATTCGGCCGTCAAGTTTCCCTCATTCTCTTCCGCATCGAATGTCTCCACCCTATAACTTAATAATGAGGTTTCAGCCGGAGCCCTTGCTTCAAATCTATATGTTAAGGCAAATGGTGTCTCTCGAGTGGCCTTCCTCGGGGTGGTTCTATAGGTCCACAAAATGTAGGATAACTCTCCTACCCAGGCGCTCTTGCACTCCATTATCTTCTTCTTCAAGCTGTCAATGATGGTGTGATTGGTATTCTCGACTTGACCGTTGACCGCAGCATAATTGTGCTTTATTCCCCAACTTTGCAAGAATTTGTTGAACGCCTTAGCTTCAAACTGGGTTCCATTGTTGGTGATGATTTGTTGGGGAGCCCAAAGCGGTACAGGATCTGCTTTGACACAAACTTCCTCATATGTTCTTTGGTGATGGTTGGTACTGGGGCGACCTCAACCCATTTGGTAAAGTAGTCAATCGCGACTACCAAATACATATTGTTCCCCGCTCCTCTAGGCAAAATACCGACCAGATCGATTCCCCAACGAGAAAATGGTATTGTTGTATCTCGTGTATCTAAACATAGCTTTAGTCCATAGACTTAGCGCTCTTGTAGCATAGATTGGAACTACGATGTTCTCATTATGAGGCTTTTACATTTATAGAGGTTATGTCTAAAATGTCCTTAGTCGAATATTATGATAATACGAACCTCATAATATATTAAGACTAATACATATGAGACAAGATAGCTGCGTCTCATAGGCTATGGATATTGTGAAATCTTAATCTATACGTATGTATATATCTAGAGATATGGTACTGGATTGGCACACCATAGGAATACTACATGGGTAATATTTTAATGTGTTAGTAGTATTCTCATTCGACCATTGGTATAACTATCCTTAGACTTGAAGTCATTACTATCTTTGATATGTTAACCTATATACTTTGATTCATATCAAATGCCATTAGAAATACTGGTGGACGTACAGTTATGTTTTGGGTATGTAGTTAAGCATATGCAAAGACGTGAATGATGTAGAAAGAATTTATCCCTTCCATTGTGCTGAAGTGTAATGTCTTCAGGCCCACTGATTGATGTGACTTAGGAAGTGCATGACCATGCCCAGATAATTAATATACTCGTATGTGATATTAATATGATCTGAATCCCACAAGTCCATCGGAAAATCAGTAAACATTTTGTTTTGGGTAATCATTATTCAGGTTTTCTTTTACATTTAATTGCCTTCATTCAACTAATCAACGCTTGGTTCAATTCAATTCGAATGGTTGTATTTTAGATTCAATACTGTCTAATTTCTATTAGATCGGAACTTCATGCTCAGCTCGGACGCTTTCCACTTTTAGTTTCCAAGATTTTCAATTTTTTGTTAATATCAAAATATATTTTTGAATTCAGATTTGACTTACTACTGGAGTATATTTTTTTTTGTTTATAAATGGATGTGACTGGTTATGCTCAATGTATTTTCTTCAATCTTTCCTTAATAGCCTAATTGCCTAAAACCCATTTTGTCATGAAACTGATCAAAGTCTGGTATATTTAAATTAATAAATATGATGTGCACTCTCACCCTAATAGGGTGTAGCAGGATGTTCTATGTGTTCTATGCTTTATGCAATTGAGAATGTTCTATATACCCTTAGGCTTATCATTGAACACCACATGTACTGCACTCCCCTTGCCTTATGCATTCACGTTGAGCTCACACAGATTTTTAAGTTTTTTGGTTATAAAGGTGTTGAGTCTTCTCAAAATGTTTTCTTAACCTTTTCTATCTCAGTTGACATTCATTGCATGCTTACTTGATAAGCAATTTGGAACAAAATATGTGTCTGTATCATGTGATTGAGGGTGAGGACAGGGAGGGGCGTGAAGGATATACATTGGTCAGGCACGTATAGTTTTGCATCTAAAACTTCTTTCATTTACTAGTATTTAGAAAAAAGGAGATGATATAAGGGTGCTTAACTCTAGCAAGGACTAAAAGAGAGTCACACACAGCAACAGAGTTTCACAGTTATATGGTTCTACAGTGCTGCATCCCAATTGAAAAAACAGCCAAAAGCCATGCTAAAAGCCAAAAACCAAACATGCCCAACAAAAAATCCTAGGTCGTTGGTGGCCATCAACAGACAATTCAATAGCAATACCAGAAACCTGCTACGATTTACCAGCAGTGAACAAGTGCTCTAATTAACGTCTTTGAGATAGTATACATATAATAGAGTTCACACTGCGAAAACGTCTGTTAAGCATCAATGCAAACCTTTGCCTCATATCTGTGTACTGCAATGACTACTGCTTTTATACAGATGGAAGAACTTGTTTTTGATACTTTTCAAGACTTTGTAAACGATCCATCCATTCTCTGTCTTCATTTGTTGGCTCTTCTTGATCTACTGAGTGCACCGAGATAGGATTGTAGAGGCCAGCATTCAAAACATCATCATACAACATTGGCTCCCATCCATGAGGGCCAACATAATAAACTAGAATCACATGAAAGCCATAATATAGGTCAGCAAAGCTGAACACATTTGTCCCTAGTTCAAATGCAAAAGCTGAAGAATTCATATTTATAATAGAAAGAATAAGGTGGCTTGTACCATACTGAATTTATGTGCATACTGCCGTCGGAATAGTGTAGTTCAAGGAAAAGAAGACAAGAAAGCAGCTTATAAGGAGCTCATGGAATGTCGGGTTGGGAGATTATGAGGTATTTACAAGCGGGGTATAAAAATTGCCCATAAGAGGGCGAAATTGATAGTTTTGGCATCTAAGTATGCAGCTTTTTGACAACCTCTATAAGGACTGTCAAAAGAGAGGAGAGAAGAGAATATTTTTGCTAGCTAAGGTGCACGAGATTGAGAGCATGTGAGGTGCATTAAATAATGCAAGGATGGCAAAGTTTGGTTTGATGAGGTGGCAGTCACACCTTCAAAATGGAAAAAACATTTGACCCATATGTTTAAAACATAGAGATTTGGCCCCGTCGGAGATGATGGAAAAAACAAAATAGAGGTTATGCATATCAATCCTAATATTTATCTTGAGTGAACAATTTCAGACCTGGTGTTAGGTCCAATGTTAATGTAATATTATCAGAAAATGTCATACCTGACTCTTGTAAAAGTTATGTTTGACATGGCAGAGAAAGGTTTCGGAATTCACATATCAAAACCAGATGAGGAAAATGATGAAATACCCTAAGCAACTCCGTCTAAAATCCCATCTTGAAATGCGGCTCGCCGAATTGCCCATCTGCCAAATGATACTGCTTCCTTAGCTGTCATAGTGGTGGATTTCCTAGTGAAGCAAGGATAACATTAATACAACTTATGGATCAATGTATATCAGCTCTGCAAAAAAAGGTTAACCAACCCGTCTATCATTGAAAGTAATCCAAGCCCTGCCTTAGATCCAAAAGAAAAATTACAGTTCACGGGTCCGTATTCATGGTCAACAAAGAAAATATCTGGATCTTGAAAAGGATGATGTGATTGCTTAATCAGACCATAGAATTGTTTCATCATGTCTTGAAAGAGGAGTGCAGCTAGGAGGTTCACTGGCATCATTCTTTCTTTATGTTTTCTCTCATATAGGCATCACTACAACAAAGATAACCTTGTGAATGATAATTTTCAGGGGAAAATGGCTAGCGTGATGTAGGACTGCATATTTCACCTGTTTCCAGAAGAGTTTGTCTACAGGATCACCGACCCTTGTGCAAAGCATATATGGACGAATTTCCACAAAGTTTGATGCTGAGAATACATATAGTGGTAGAAAAATGTCTGCCCTTAAAATGTTCCACGTTTCATTTGTTATCTATCCCAATATAAGGTTCTACTTTCCTTTAAAACAAGGAAATTTCAATGAGAGGACTTATTTTGCAATGGAGGGAAATTATAAATAATTTTCAACAATATAATGAGTAAGGATTAGAAGCATACATACTTGTTCTAGTGCTCTTGGGAGAGCAAGAAGCTAATATGATCCCATCTCTACACATAAAACCAAGAGAGGTAGTACGATCCTAACACATACAAAATTATAATGCTGTGATTCAAGCATTCATGATGTAGTACGATCCACCTTTTCAATTGTCCTGCTACGGAGGTCGCACGCACGCACGCACACTCGCCCGCCTGCACGCGTGCACGCGCACACACACACACACACGGGGGTGATTAGTGGGAATGTTAAGAACATTTTAGGATTGCAATGTCTCACACCTCAATAGTGAGAATGTTTATACAAGATGAATTGTTGTCGGCACTGATTCAAGACTCACGGGGTGATTAGTGGAACTATTACGTGGAAATCAAGCTCTCAAGTTGCTGCATCACAGAGGATTTGCAAGTGCTGTTAATAGATGGTGGTATCAAGGATGTGTCGAAATTCATAGAAACATAGAAGAAAAAGTAATAAACTATTTATTACTTCGTATATGGCCTTTAATTTATTATTAATTATTTAAAACTTTACTTAATTATTTTTTCGTGTATTGTTAAAACATATTGTCATGAGTATGCGAATCAATTCCAAAGTAGGACGAGAATTAATGTGTATAGAGCTGTTCCTTGGGTAGCGGAAGTCATTCGAAGCTTGGATCTTCATTCAAAAACATAAAAAAAGAAAAAATAGAAATGATATATCTGTGCCACTCAAAGAACAAGGATCCAAGCTCCCAATGACTTTCACCGCCCAAGGAACAACTCTATTCACATAAATTCTTGTCATTCTGGGGAATAGATTCGCATACTCAAGGCACTATATTTTAACAATACAAAAAAATAATTAAGCAAAATTTCAAATGATTAATAATAAATTAAAGACAATATATACGAAGTAAAATGAAAAGCTTATTAGTTTTTCATCTATGTTTGTATAAATTCTGATACATCCTTGATACCATCATCCACTAACAGCACTTGTGAATCCTCTATGATGCATCAACTTGAGAGCTGGATTTCCACGTAATATTAAGAGTATTCCATTAATCATCGCCGTGAGTGTGGAATCAGTGCCGACCACAATCCCATTGTCTATAAACATTCCCACTATTGAGGTGTGAGACATTGCAGCCTCAAAATGCTCTTGAGTACAAGAAAAACCAAAAAATTACCCCTCACGATTATTGTATTCTTCTAGATGATCAGATTAAAAAACGAATAAGATCAAAATATTAAAATAAATAGGCATGCACCTCATCATCGGTATGTCCACCAGATTCGTCATCTGTTGTTCTTAGATGATTTCTAAACAAACAATTCCCCTTTGTGATTAGAAGGAAAGATAAGAAGATGATGGATAAGATGAGGGAAAGAAAAAGAAAACAAGCGCCCTGCCTTACACACACACACACACTTGGTCAAATGAAAAAGAACGTGGTCAAGCCCTGCCTTAATCACACACACACACTTGGTCCAATGAAAAACGAATGTGGTCAATGGTGAGCGGTTGTAATTTCTGTTTTTTCTTGTACTTAAGAGCATTTCAGGATTGCAATGTCTCACACTTCAATAGTGGGAATGTTTATACAGGACGAATTGTTGTCGGCACTGATTCAAGACTCACAGGGGTGCTTAGTGGAACTATTACGGGGAAATCCAGCTCTCAAGTTACTGCATCACAGAGGATTTGCAAATGCTGTTAGTGGATAGTGGTATCAAGGATGTGTCGAAATTCATAGAAACATAGAAGAAAAACTAATAAGCTATTTATTAATTCGTATATGGCCTTTAATTTATTATTAATTATTTAAAATTTTACTTAATTAATTTTTCGTGTATTGTTAAAACATATTGTCATGAGTATGCGAATCAATTCCTAAGTAGGACGAGAATTAATGTGAATAGAGCTTTTCCTTGGGCAGCGGAAGTCATTCGAAGCTTGAATCTTCCTTCAAAAACATAAAAAAAGAAAAAATCGAAATGATATATCTGTGCAACTCAAAAAACAAGGATCTAAGCTCCCAATGACTTTCACCGCTCAAGAAACAACTCTATTCACATAAATTCTTGTCATTCTTGGGAATAGATTCGCATACTCAAGGCACTATATTTTAACAATACAAAAAAAATAATTAAGCAAAATTTCAAAGGATAAATAATAAATTAAAGACAATATATACGAAGTAAAATGAACAGCTTATTAGTTTTTCATCTATGTTTGTATAAATTCTGATACATCCACTAACAGCACTTGTGAATCCTCTATGATGCATCAACTTGAGAGCTGGATTTCCACGCAATATTAAGAGTATTCCATTAATCACCGCCGTGAGTGTGGAATCAGTGCCGACCACAATCCCATCCTGTATAAACATTCCCACTACTAAGGTGTGAGACATTGCAGCCTCAAAATGTCTTGAGTACAAGAAAAAACAAAAAATTACCCCTCACGATTATTGTATTCTTCTAGATGATCAGATTAAAAAACGAATAAGATCAAAATATTAAAATAAATAGGCATGCACCTCATCATCGGTATGTCCACCAGATTCGTCATCTGTTGTTCTTAGATGATTTCTAAACAAACAGTTCCCCTTTGTGATTAGAAGGAAAGATAAGAAGATGATGGATAAAATGAGGGAAAGAAAAAGAAAACAAGCATCCTGCCTTACACACACACACTTGGTCCAATGAAAAAAGGACGTGGTCAATGGTGAGCGGTTGTAATTTCTGTTTTTTCTTGTACTTAAAAGCATTCCAGGATTGCAATGTCTCACACATCAATAGTGGGAATGTTTATGCAGGATGGATTGTTGTCGGCACTGATTCAAGACTCATGGGGGTGATTAGTGGAACTATTACGTGGAAATCCAGGTCTCAAGTTGCTGCATCACAGAGGATTTGCAAGTGCTGTTAGTGGATGGTGGTATCAAGGATGTGTCGAAATTCATAGAAACATAGAAGAAAAAATAATAAGCTATTTATTACTTCGTATATGGCCTTTAATTTATTATTAATTATTTAAAATTTTACTTAATTATTTTTTCGTGTATTGTTAAAACATATTGTCATGAGTATGCGAATCAATTCCTAAGTAGGACGAGAATTAATGTGAATAGAGTTGTTCCTTAGGCAGCGGAAGTCATTCGAAGCTTGGATCTTCGTTCAAAAACATAAAAAAAAAAAAAAAATAGAAATGATATATCTGTGCCACTCAAAGAACAAGGATCCAAGCTCCCAATGACTTCCACCGCCCATGAACAACTCTATTCACATAAATTCTTGTCATTCTAGGGAATAAATTCGCATACTCAAGGCACTACATTTTAACAATACAAAAAAATAATTAAGCAAAATTTCAAATGATTAATAATAAATTAAAGACAATATATACGAAGTAAAATGAACAGCTTATTAGTTTTTCATCTATGTTTGTATGAATTCTGATACATCCTTGATACCATCATCCACTAACAGCACTTGTGAATCCTCTATGATGCATCAACTTGAGAGCTGGATTCCACGTAATATTAAGAGTATTCCATTAATCACCGCCGTGAGTGTGGAATCAGTGCCGACCACTATTCCATCTTGTATAAACATTCCCACTACTGAGGTGTGAGACATTGCAGCCTCAAAATGCTCTTGAGTACAAGAAAAAACAAAAAATTACCCCTCAGCATTATTGTATTCTTCTGGATGATCAAATTAAAAAACGAATAAGATCAGAATAATAAAATAAATAGGCATGCACCTCATCATCGGTATGTCCACCAGATTCGTCATCTGTTGTTCTTAGATGATTTCTAAACAAACAGTTCCCCTTTGTGATTAGAAGGAAAGATAAGAAGATGATGGATAAGATGAGGGAAAGAAAAAAGAAAACAAGTGCCCTGCCTTAGATCCTATAAAAAATTACAATTCACAAGTGTGTATTCATGGTCAACAAAGAAAAGAACTGGACTTGAAAAAAGATGATGTCATTGTTTAATCAGAACATATACTCCCTCCGTCCCCCATAGATCTTCCCATTAGCCCTTTTTATTTGTCCCACATAGATCTTCTCATTACCTTTTTTAATAATTAAAATACTACAACTACCCCTACTTTATTTATTACACCTTTTCCACCTTATTTAATACACACCACCCATTTTCATTAAGGGTATTTTGGTAAACTTTCACCTTTTTTCAACTCTCCTTAAAAACCGTAAAAAGTCAAAACGAGAAGATCTTAGGGGGACGGAGGGAGTATTTATTAAGGAAAAACTAATATATTTGTATATGTAACTTACATATAGCTCCCATCCAGCAAGTACGGAACCAAGAAACTTCGGACCATAGAATTGTTTCATCATGTCTTGAAAGAGGAGTGCAGCTAGGTTCACTGGCATTCTTTGTTTATGTTTTCTCTCATATAGGCAGCACTATAACAGCTAGGACTGCATATTTCACCTGTTTCCAGAAGAGTTTGTCTACAAGATCACCGACCCTTGTGCAAAGCATATATGGACGAATTTCCACAAAGTTTGATGCTGAGAATACAGATAATGGTAGAAAAATGTCTGCCCTTAAAATGTTCCACGTTTCATTTGTTATCTATCCCAATATAAGGTTTTACTTTCCCTTAAAACAACGAAATTTCAATGTGAGGCCTTATTTTGCGATAGAGGGAATAATAAATAATTTTCAACAATATACTCCCTCCGTCCCCCAGTTTTTGTCCACTTTTGACTTTTGGAATTGTTCATTTAAGCACTTTGACTCATCAAATTCTCTCAATGTGTAAGCCTAAATATAGTTATGTGTGATCTTGTTTGATTTGTCTTAATATATAGATTATTAATATATAACTTCTATAATTTTTTGATATACAAATTACAAGATAAAATGGATTAAAGAAGTGTATTGGATGGTATGTAAAAATGAAAGTGGACAAATACTCTGGGACGGAGGGAGTAATAAGTAAGGATTAGAAGCATACATACTTGTTCTAGTGCTCTTGGGAGAGCAAGAAGCTAATATGATCCCATCTCTACACATAAAACCAAGAGAGGTAGTACGATCCTAACACATAGAAAATTATAATGTTGTGATTCAAGCAATCATGATGTATGAAAAAATATCTCTTTTGACTACAACCACTACAAATGTATGTCATTTGAAAATTAACATTAAATGAACCTATAACACCCCAACCCGCGTAACCCGAACCAACGGGTAAGCGAATCGGGTTGTTACTAAGTTGCTATTTGCATGCATAATTTTTTTTTTAAACTAAACAATTAGATAAATTGTAAAAAAAATTTAATAATGTCCAACAGACCGTTTAATCAAATAAAATAAAGTAGTTCAATTATTTACAGTAAACGGGAGCCATCCGCGCCGCATCACCACTTCACCGTCCTCCGGGTTGCCCATCCAAACCTGTGTTTCTACCTACGTGCACCTACGTGCAGTCAAGCTACAATGACTACATGCTTAGCGAAACGCTGAGTGAAAATATACCTAAGCCAGCATTAACTCACAGAATAGCACCACATTAACATACAATTAACAACAACATGTGATCACGGAGAAAAACAGCTTAAATAAACATATTTATACTAGCATCTTCCATTTGAACATCATGTCCTTATTTTATTTCACATCAACTAACTTTGAGTCATGACACCCCAAGCGATGCTATAAAAGGGCCAGCTCAGAAACCCAAAGGAGATTCACTTTGGGCGGGTTGAAGCCCTGTCCCTCCCTGCGATGTCAGGAGAGGTCGCGGACTTCCGTATGTACGTTTTTAACCCAAGACCACCGGGGGTGCGACGACGCCCCACAATGGCCAATTTCATAACCATATCCTATTGGTGATTCAATCAGTCAATCCAATTCAGGTCCGCCTAATTATACTAGGTAGCCTATTTCTCATACATTTTTCATAATCCACAATATTCACCAATAAGATCAATTTAATTTAAACTACGATTCACAATTCACAACAAATCACGTAGCGGCCTATCCGGGCTGAATACCCACGATTACCGTCATGCATAATCAAACAACCAAAATGACAATTAACTCAACTTACCTGCGCGGAATCGAGCCCAAGGAATCCATCCTCAGGTCCGCTGCCCCCGCCGGAACAGTATCAATTACCACCGGATCAGCCGACAACCTGCCGGACTAACCCGGTAGCCCCAACCCGCTGCCCGCTCAGGCAACCCCACTCTGCCGGCCCCACGCAGCCGGCCCAATAGCCTAACGCAGCCAGCCCAACAGCCGGACAGCCGGCCCAATGACCCGGTCAGCCCCAACTGCCCGGACAGCCCCAATAGAACCCAAACTGACCCGTTTGCACAAAAATCAATCTCAATTGAAACCCAGTTGCACGAGAGCCAACCCAATTGAACCCGAATTGACCCGATTAAACCAATTGGGTCCAAATTGGATCCGCCGGAAACTGTCCTTACGTCGGCCGCAGCCACCGCCGGCCAATCGCCGGAAAACAGCCCCCAACACAACCCCAATCCAATCTAATGCACAATCAACCACAAATTTCACAATCAAACACAAAATTGATACCACAAGATCCTAATCCACGAATTAATGATAACTATAGGTATAGGAATCACGAATTACCTCGAATTGAAGAATTAAAACTCCAACTCGGAAGAGAGAAGCTGCCGCTGCAACTCCCTGGTGCGGCCGGAGCAGCTGCGCGACGGGAAGAGGGGTAACGGCGATGACGACGGTGGCGTTCCAGGCAGACTCGGCGGCTTGCTGGGGTCGCTGGCTCCTGGTCGACGGCGACAAAACAGACGCAGGGCAGAGGAGAGGAACGCCAAAACGAACTGACGAGAGAACGAGTGAGTCTCGTAACCCCCAACTAGCGGGCCTATTAAAGGCCGAAAGCCCAACTGTCATGCATAATCAAACGAAACCCAATTAATTTGGATTACCTGCCAAAAGTCATAAGTCAATTCAGAACCCAAAACCCAAACCTGCTGTCTCACCTGACCAGCCTGGCAGAACCCTTACTGCAGTCACTGTCGGACAGCAGGTCGCAGCCCACAAATTGCCACCACCCAACCAGCCACTAACCCGGCTGTTGATCCGCCCCCTTCTCTCCTCAGACGACCGGCTGCCTGGACCAACCCCAGCCACTCGCTGGAGAACCCACCCGAAGAAGGTAGAAACTCGCTGGAATCAACCCATAACACTATATTTGGTTCAAGAAATTTGAAAGAGAAAAGAAAAAAAATGATGGGAAAAACAGTTTTTCATGTTTGGTTGGAGAGGAAAAGTTGGAGGAAAAGAAAATGAGAAGACATATGTTCAAAGTCGAATGAAAACCAAATTCCTCCCATTTTTGTGAGGAAAATGAAAGAAAATCACTTTTTTTTTCTTTTCCTTCAAAAATCCTTGAACCAAACATAGTGTAAGAGTTCATACAATACAAGAAGCAATCAACCAGTTTCTGCAAGAATATAAGTGATGGACCGATATCCAGTGGGCGGCCAAAATTAATCGTCCACCAGGCTCCGGGTCAGGCGCACAGAAAATACCTAGACATGGGCCGGCCCATAACGCGAGGCCCGGTCTACTTCAACCCAAGACAGCTGGCCAGTCCAGGAGAGGAGACTCCGCTGAAGAACGGAGATGAAGCCAGAAAAAGAGGATCGCGCCATTGGCGGGATGGACTCCCTTTGATTGTTTATTACCTAAACTGTCTAGAATCCATATATAAATAGAGGAGACCCGAGAGGGGAAAGACCCCAAGCTAAATCAAGCTAATAATACACACCCAATTCTCGAGTTCTTATTCCTATTTCATTTCTTACAATCCGTTCTTCTGAATCGGATCATTTGGTGGATTTATTGTCCATCAATAAGTTAGGAACTGCTCATCTACGAATGAACTTTAACGATAGGTATAGAAACTACTACTCACCTTGATTTGTCAAAGAAATCAAAATCATATCGAGAATCACGCCCCCCTCTGTTGTTCCGCTGGTGCCTAACGCGCGCCGCGCCCAAGGAGGGAAAGTCGAACGCAGATGGTGGATGGCGATAAAGAAGGTGGCGGTGAGGAACGGTGATGGCGGGGAAGAATGGAAGAAGAAGAAGAAGAAGACGCGGCTCCTCTGCTCGAGTTGGTCGATCAAAAAGACGGGAAAAAAAAGATGGGGAAGAATGTGGCGTGGGGATATCAAATGGATAATGTTATTTGTACCCCAAAAAATTTATATCTGATTACTTCGTGTTATATAGCAAGGACGCACCAACATTTTGTATTAGTGTAATACTAATTTTTGTTAATGCACCAACACTTTGTGTTAATGTAAATTTTTGTTAATGCACCAACACTTTGTGTCAGTGTGAACCATCAAAATGTTGGTGCATATACCTTTGGTGTACAAATGGGGTATAAATTTTGAGGTACATGTTAGCGTATATATGTATATATCATTTGTGTGTATTATTGGGTAACATTTTGGGCCTATCTTGTTGGGCTTGGAACATGTATTTATATCCTCCGGTGTCAATGAAACAACCAAGTCATTCAGTTCACTAAATTCTACATGGTATGAGAGCAAACCCTGGGATATCTGGTAAAACCCTAGGTGGCCGCTGCAAATCTGGCCTCTCGTTCGCCGGTTGTCTGCGCCGGTTGTCCACTCCAGAACATCATCAGTCCCTTCCCGGTGAACTGTCCAAGTCTCTTCCGCTGTCACCGTCACGGGATCGTCCATCTCTGCCCCGGTTGGGAGTCTCCGTCCAAGTCGCTGGCCCAAGTCAGCCATCGTCGCCCGTTCCAGTTCTGAGCGCGCGTCTCCGTCCTAGTCGCCGGCGAATCCCTGCTCGCCCGCCCTTTTCCGTTCATCTGCAAAGAATCGCCGTCCTTTTCCGTTGAAGTCGCCGCCGTCCATCCCTCTCTGTTTCAACCGAAGAGGTTTCCGTCCACATGCGCAGTTTGGATTTGCTACGCCGCCCAGATCTGCCTCGCTGTAGCAGCCTGTCCCATTGCACAGCAAATTTTCCTCCGTCCAGGTGCACAATTGCGCAGCAGATTTCCTCCGTCCCATTGTCCAGCAGATTTTCTTTGTTTTTTGTCTAAACAAACTCGTTCTTCCTTTCCTGCCAGTCATAATAAACACTACAAATTTTTGCTAAAATTGCGACGGAAAAAATCTGTCGCAAACCCTTTGTTTTGGTCGCAGAGTTCAAAATTGCGAAAGCTCGGCGACAGAATCATTCCGTCGCAAAAAAATTGTCGCATTTTAGATATTTGCGACAGAAATATCATTCTGTCGCAGTTCTGCGACGGTGTTAGCGACGGCCAAACGAAATTAAGAATCGGCGACAGAAAACCTAGTCCGTCGCAAATTGCGACGGAATATGCGATAGCACATCAATGCTTTTTATTTTGTACCCTGCGACGGTATTTGCGACGGAATAAATCCGTCGCAAATAAACCAGATATCAGCAACCTGTTCTGCACCAGAATTCAGCAACCCAACAATACAATAACATTACAACAACACAGCATATAAACAACAGCATTGAAACATCACAGTATTATTCAAATTCCTTACGAAACACAAATTATTTCTCAATTCATTGTCAATCACAACACAATATTCATTAAAACATAATTCAATCAAATTCATTTTCAATCACAACACAATGTTCAATAAAACACATAATTGTCATAAGTTGTTCATGTGACACAACCAGTTCCTGAGCCTCCCATCCCATCATCAGGGTCCCGGGGTGTCGGAAGATTTCCACCACACATCATTCGAATTTGTTCAGCAACTATCAATTCAATCTTATCTAACCTTGCCTTCATGACTTCGTTCTCCGCTCTCAACCGCTCAATCTCTGAAATATCACTAGTGCTCTTTCTTCTGCTTTGATATCTAGGTTTGAGGGGTTTCATTTCTTCAGCAAGATCTCCGACTCCCTTAATCCTATTCTTTTGATCAAAGCCACCAACTAGCTCAAACAAAATCTCTTGATCCGTGACTTGAAGGCCTGATTCCTCAGCCATTTGTTTCAATTGTACAAAATCAGCCTGTATAATGAAATACATATTCAATATATAAAGAAAAAAAATAGAGTATATGTAATTATCACATTGTGGCATTGTATTTAAATTTAAGTAATAAGAAGTGTGCATAATTCACATTTACCTCAAGTTGTGCATTTTCTGGATCTATCCATGTTTGTCCATCATGTTTCTTCGTCTTGGTGTGCTTGAAAGCATCCACCACTGTTACTGGAGCTTCAGACTTTTGAGCCTACAATATAAAAAACTTTATAAGGTGTTCAGAGAAAGGAATATTAATATGCATTGATTCATTCATTCATTACTTACCAATCGGGCAAGGTGTTCAGAGAAAGGAATCGACCCTCCAGTATAGGTCCCTATAGCTACGCCTTCATTCTTTCCCTTTCTTCTATTCTTTTTCTTCACTTCAGATTCTTGCTTAAATTCATTGGAATTCCAAAACTATACATACGTATAAGATGAGGATTATTAGAAGAAGTTATACATATAGATACATATAACCAGTATGTTTTAGATACTCAATGCTATAATAATAATATGAATATTAAGAATATAACTTATACGCATAGAAAAATTGTAATACATTCAAAACTAAATCACCGTGTCCCAACGACCAATAAGCTCAGCAGGGGGCTTCTTGTGAACCACTCTCGCATTACGTTGATTATACGTAAAGAGACTATATAATCTCCCCGCCCGACGCATAAAAGCATTCCTGACCATATCACAAGGAATGCGACGATCCCAGCTGCAGTGTTTCTATATTCAAAGAAACCAAAGTTTATGTAGTTATACTTATTTTTAATATAGAATATTGAAGAGTTATAAGTGTAAATACGTATGAAAACCATGCCTGGAACTCTCGCCAGTAAAAATCTCGCGTCTCTGGCTTAACATTCTTCCACTTTGTCCCTTCAGGATCCCCCCCTCAGATAAAATGAGGGTGTGATTAGGTGGCACGCAGCAGTAGTGATCTTAACCCTTATATTATTTCAGAAAAAAACATAAAAAAATCAATATAAGTGATAATGATATATTAACCTTTTCTTAATTTTCATCATAACTTACTTGCCATCATGAGCAACGTATACATGTTGATCCCTCACGAGTGGGTCCAACTGCTCATCCTCCTCATCGTCCTCCTCTTCTCGGTCATCAACATCATTTTCTCTGTGCTCACTCTCACTTTCGAAAGATTGTAAATTTGACTCAGATACGAATGTGTGCGATCCTGAAATCATCAATACAAACATTATACATTATATATGAATGATTCAACATGAATAATTGGGAAGATAAATAATCCTACCAGCGGTGCTAGCACCAGAATGCAAAGGTGTGTGTGACGTGGGCGGAGGTGATGCTGATGCATCCATCTCAGGGGTGGACGTATTAACCGAGGGGTTGCTACAACCTGCTTCGGCATCGTCTCTGGATCGAGTCATGAAACTCTGTCGTAGAAGTCTCAAGCTATCCCTTGCCGAACTAACAAAAGATGGCGTCTTCGAGCTCTTTTGCTTCTTACCCTTGCCTTTATCTGTCATCTGCACATACAAAACCACGGTAAAATAAGATATTTTAATTTCATTAGAAAAAATAATATTAAGAATTGAAAATAATTACATATAAAGAATTAAAAGAGTATACTTTATCTTGAATTGTTTTCACTATCTACAGACTCATTATCTGTTGTTTCTATTGATTCCATTGAATATTCAGAACTTAAAATGGGCTCTTCTTCTTCCATATTCTCAAAATTCAAATCTTCTTCTTCAAAGTCTGCATTTCCTTCACCTATTAGAGTTACAACATCATTGTTTTCCGAAACAACCATGATGCTAGTTGAGTCCGTCACACTTTGTTGGAAAGGATCCTGTAACATTGCATCTTGGATTTCTTTTGGACTCTCAGTGTCTACCCAGCCTCTAGGTTGAACTTTGCAAACTGCCATCCACTCACCTCGATTTCGTTTTGTGCATGGATAGTTGACATACGCCACTTGCGTTGCTTGAGATGCTAAAATGTACGGTTCGCTGTTAAACCGTCCTTTCTTTAGCACTTCAACAAATTTGTAATTCTCATGCACTTTTGTACCAACTTTCGGACGAGGATCAAACCATAGACATTTAAACAACATACATTGTTTAAGTGGTAGAGCAGGGTACTCAATCTGTATTATATCCTCTAAGATGCCATGGTACTCCTCGTACTCTCCTGTAATTGCCACACCACAGTTATAAGTTGAGCGCTTAGAACCATGTTTTTCTGTGTGAAATCGATACCCCTTTACAAAGTATATTGGGTATGATTTTGCAACCGGTAAGGGATCTCTTGCTACATCCAGAAATAGATCTCCTATTAGATCTCAACATGTAGGCATTAGCATTTAGTTGTATTCACTCTATAGAGGGGTTGATAATATTAACATTAATTTGTTAAAAAAATTTACATGTTGTTCAAACCACTTTATTAAATTCTCTGTCACTCGGCTCGATATAGATTCTTGTGTAATGCTTGGGTTTGCCTTTGTAATCTCTTCTATATACATCCTGTAACATAAAAACTTCCAAAAAGAATGATAATATATTCTTTATGGAAAGTTTATAAGAAATTATACTATTTAAAATTTTTAATCTTACTCAAAATAAGGATCAATCTCAGGACAATTAAGTAGGATGTATAGATGTGCAGCTTTAACCTCATCTGGACTTAGATGAATTTTGCGCATCTTTCCCTGTAGCCGACCCCCACTTTGAAAAATGGGAAAATTGTGTGTAGTACATTCTTCACTTACATATTCATCATCATTGCGTGGTACAGAATGCACTCGAGTGTACACATGTTCTTCAAAATAATGAGAACAAAAGAATGAAGCTTCCCGAACTAAATACGCGTTGGCAATTGAACCTTCTACGCGTGCCTTATTTTTCACCATTCTCTTTAGACGATTCAAGTACCTAAATATATTACAAAGTTCATATTAATGCAAGTACAAATCTTTAATTAAGCCACCTAGAAAAGATGAGTACCTCTCGAATGGATACATCCATCGATATTGTACAGGACCTCCTATTCGCGCCTCATATGGCAAGTGAATGGGGAGATGTTCCATACTATTGAAGAATCCTGGCGGAAATATTTTCTCCAACTTGCAAATTATGATAGGAATGTCTTCTTCTAGCCTTTTAAGATCATATACAGAAGCTGTTTTGCTTGTCAAAGTTTTAAAGAAGTTACTTAGTTCTGCAATCACTTCCCAAACCACCTTTGGTAAAAGCTCTTTGAATCCAATAGGTATTAGTCTTTGCATAAACACATGACAATCATGACTTTTCATTCCGAACATCCTAAGCTTTGTTGGATCGACACATCTACCCAAATTTGAAACATAGCCATCGGGAAATTTCAACTCTTTCACCCAATCTAGAAATGCCTTACGCTGTATCTTATCCAGTGTGTAACAAGCTTTTGGGTATTTTCCTGTACTAGGATCACGTTCCAAGTCTTTTCTTGCGCAAAAAAGTTTCATATCTTCTCTCGCCTTAACATTGTCTTTTGTCTTACCTTGCACGTCCATTATAGTGTTGAAAAGATTCTCAAAAACATTTTTTTCAATGTGCATTACGTCAAGATTGTGGCGGATCATGTTACTACTCCAATACGGCAAATCCCAAAAGATGCTTCATTTCCTCCATCCGCACGAAGTTGACTTAACGATGTCAGCATTAAGACTATCTGCATTTTCATAAAAAATCTTTCGTAGCCCTAAAAGATCAATCTCATGCAGTATCTCTTCCCCACTCTTGTAGACAGGTGCCGATTCTGTCTCAACTCGTTTCGTGATGAAATTTTTCTTATCTTTACGAAATGGGTGATCAGTCGGAAGAAATCGTCGATGTGAGTCAAACCAGGATTGTTTGCCACCATTAGGCAATCTAAAAGACTCAAGCTGATCCATGCAAACAGGACATGTTTTTTTTCCAGATGTGCTCCAACCAGACATCATCGCATACGCAGGAAGATCACCAATTGTCCACATCAAAGCTGCGCGCATTCTAAAATTTTGTTTTAATGACACATCAAATGTATCCACACCTTCACATCAGAGCACTTTTAATTCTGCAAGTACACATCAATCTTTTGCTTTGGATTTGACCTACCCGGAACAATTAATGAGAGGAATATATGTTCCTCTTTCATGCACATATTTGGAGGAAGATTGTAAGGCGTGATCATAACCGGCCAGCAAGAGTATTGAGAGCCTGATTGCCCGAATGGCTGAAACCCATCAGTGCACAAACCCAAACGAACATTTTGAACTTCAGAAGCAAAAGAAGGATGTTTTTCGTCAAATGCTTTCCATGCTTCAGAATCACAAGGGTGACACATTTCATCTGTGTTCGAGTGTTTATGTTCAGCATGCCAACGCATTGACTCGGCGGTGCGCTTTGATGTATATAAACGTTTCAATCGCGGTGTTAAGGGAAAGTAAAACATTTGTCTGTGCGGGACTTTAGCCTTCTCATCTTTATAACGCGGCTTATTGCAAACCTTGCACTCATTGAGACTTTCATCATCTCCCTAAAATAACATGCAACCAAGAATGCAACAATGTATCTTCTGAACGGGAAGGCCCAACCCGTCAATTAGCTTCTTTGTTTGGTAAAAGCTTTCAACCATTGTGTTTTCCTCAGGAAGAGCATCTTTAAATAACTGACATATTGTATCGTAGCACCTTTCTGAGACATTATGTTCGGATTTAATGTTGAGTAGGCGTGCAGTTGCTGACAACTGTGACATCTTAGAGCACCCAGACCACAAATCCTTATCCGTAGCTTTTAACATCTCAAAGAATTTTTTATCCTCCAGATTTGGTTCTTCCTCGGCATTTAAGTTTGCGACAAAAGGGCGTGCAGCATCGTACACCATATCAATATATTGGTCTCTTCATTCGGCTCTTGTCACACGTGTGGTATCCCCATGTCGTTTAACTCGTCGTCGTTTTGGGGGAACATAATCACCATGCTTTTCTCCGTGACAAACCCAATCATAATAATTTGGAGTGAAACCAAATCGCAGGATATGCTCTATAATTGTTGCATTACTTCCAAACTTTAAATTCTTGCATGACTTACACGGACAACGCATGTTATTCTTTAACCGATCAGCATTGGGATTCGAGGAACAAATATCCACAAACTTCATGACATTGTCAACCCATTCTTTACTAACTACACCTTCGGATTCAAATTTATTATACATCCATTCACGATCATCAAATCCAGAAATTGTAGCATTAAAATCAACAATGTTTGATCAAAACAAGCACAAATTGAACAATGCAAATAACTATCAAGAATTTGAATTCATTCACAACTAAAAATGTACAAAAAAATACCACCAACGATACCCAAAATTTTAAGATAAGTTAAGAAGTTTTTTAATATAAAAACTTTAAAAAAATTCCTAGAATCATATCAAATAAAATTTTCCTACAATCATATAAAATAGAAATTTCTTACAATGAAATCAAAATTTCCTATTATAAGCATATATGATTTAAAAAATGGAATATAAAAAAGCATATGATAAATTTCTTGGAATAAATTTAATTCACTTCAATTAGCAAATTTAACAAAAAAA